CAAAAGGAGATTTCTCTCCATTCCTTGTCTGTAAGGTTGCCACCTGATCTTTCATTAAAATTTTTCTGTATGGATGTTTCAGCCTTTGATGCCAGTTTTGAAAGCAAGGTTTTGTTGGTGGCTCCCTGAGTTGCCCACAGTTAGTTTGTTGTGTCTATTAGCCTGTGTTGATTTACTTCTCACTCTTTTTATTGGACTGGTTTTGGATGTCCTTTAATTTTAAGAATCCTGTATCCCCCAAATGGGAATTTTGTACTTGCGATAAAATCCCTTCCTTGGATTCTGCTGAGGTACAGCATTCTCCTTGTATTTATAAATGAGTTTAGAGGTCCACCCAATATAAAGGTTTGGCACACTTGAGGGCATATACAAGGAGTTTATTGAAATTTACCGTTCACAGGTAAACACTTTACCGGTTACCTGTCAACTGTAAATTTCAATAAACTCTTTAAAGGATAAGTTCACCTATCATAACATATTACATCCATATTCAGGGTGTAACATGTTATCAAAGGACCAGCTCCCGGTCCTCCCTGCTAGGGATCTTCCCCCTCTGTCAAAATTAAAAAAAATGGTGCTGTGGGAGGCCTTGCCTGCCCAGCCACGTCACTCAATCACAGTATTCTGCCTTCGCGGCTATCGACTTATAGGTTTTGGTGAACTACCAGGGCGCTGTGGTAGTTCATTGATTTCTTTCTTCCTGTCAGAGTAAAAAGCATGGCACCAGCGTTTCTGCTGATCGCTGTTGCAATGCTTTCCAGGCTCCTGCAACAAAAAATAATAAATGCACATTTCCCCTAGTCATCTTCCAGGACAACCCTTGAGAGATGGAGCTCCTCCCACCGGAACATGAAACACATTGCCATAGTTCTTTAAAAGGAGGTCCTTCAGCAGCCTGGTCAGTCATTTGTTTTTCCTCTGTCCAGAGGAGCCATGATGCCTGAGGAACTTTTTTTCTTATTTTTCCGGGGAGAGCTCCATCCCTGAGGGACTAAGTGGATTATGGCTGCAAGAAGACCGGGTCTCAGGTGGCCTTTTTGTTGCCCTAAGGAAGTGCAGTGTTTCCCTCACCTGCTCTTTTTTCCAAGGCCACGAGTACTGTCCAGCACTGCAGGAGCAGATCCGCTCCTGCCTCCTTCCGGTGCCTGGAGAGGATGCCTCTACCTCCCGTGGTTCCACACTGGACACCGTAGTGCAGGTGACGCTGGGCATCACCTTCTGATGGGAGTATTGTCATCCACATGTGCCGAGGGTTCTGGGTCTCGGGCGCAAGGAGGAAGGGGAGGGCCAGGCTGGGCCATATCTGTTCAGCCAGCATCTGGCATACAGGGACTAGCGGTGGGAGGGGGATCTTGGAGGTTGCCTCCCAGGACACTCCAGGGGATTCGAGCACCAGCAGTGCACAGGTAGGCTGTGGGACATGATATTACTGTGCATTTTGGTGGAGGTGGTCAGCATAGGGCTGGAGCATAGGGATCCCTTGGTGGTGGATAGCCTTTGTTAGTCCTTACTGGCACTTGGCAGCTTGGTGGGAGTTCTGGGCATTTTTTGTGTAGTTTTGGATAGGCCAGTGGTATTTCCTTTTTTTTCTTTTTTTTTTCTCTGCGTGCTTCTTCTGCAGAGTCGTGAAGAAACACCAGGATGTTCATTTGTTGAGACCATACAGGATGTGCACTCTGTCTTCAGGTTTATATGGGATTGAGGTCCTGCTTTCCCTGAGTCTACTTGTTAGTAAGGACATATGGCATATACAGGTGAAACTCGAAAAATTAGAATATCGTGCAAAAGTTCATTTATTTCAGTAATGCAACTTAAAAGGTGAAACTAATATGAGAGATAGTTAGATAGTTCAAGCCGTGATTTGTCATAATTGTGATGATTATGGCTTACAACTCATGAAAACCCCAAATCCACAATCTCAGAAAATTAGAATATTACATGCAACCAATAAAACAAGGATTGCACATAGAGTATCGGACCTCTGAAAAGTATAAGCATAAGGAAGAACAGGATGCTTCAATAGCGGCCTTCAGCTCTTCTGCATTGTTAGGTCTCATGTCTTTCATCTTTCATTTGGCAATGCCCCATAGATTCTCTATGGGGTTCAGGTCAGGCGAGTTTGGTGGCCAATCAAGCACAGTAATCCCACGGTCATTGAACCAGGTTTTGGTGCTTTTGGCAGTGTGGGCAGGTGCCAAGTCCTGCTGGAAAATGAAGTCAGCATCCCCATAAAGCTTGTCTGCAGAAGGAAGCATGAAGTGCTCCAAAATCTCCTGGTAGACGACTGCGTTGACCCTGGACTTAATGAAGCACAGTGGACCAACACCAGCAGATGATATGGCTCCCCAAATCAACACAGACTGTGGAAACTTCACACTGGACTTCAAGCATCTTGCAGTGTGTGCCTCTCCATTCTTCCTCCATACTCTGGGTCCTTGGTTTCCAAATGAGATGCAAAAGTTGCTCTCATCAGAAAAGAGGACTTTGGACCACTGAGCAACAGACCAGGTCTGTTTTTCTTTAGCCCAGGTAAGACGCTTCTGACGTTGTTTGTTGTTCAGGAGCGGCTTGACAAGAGGAATACGACATTTGAAGCCCATGTCCAGCCTCAGTCCACTCCTTGTGAAAGTCCCCAACACTTTTGAATGGCCTTTTCCTGACAATCCTCTCCAGGCTGCGGTCATCCCTGCTGCTTGTGCACCTTATTCTTCCACACTTTTCCCTTCCACATAACTTTCTATTAATGTGCTTTGACACAGTGCTTTGGGAACATCCAACTTCTTTTGCAATTACCTTTTGAGGCTTTCCCTCCTTATGGAGGGTGTCAGTGATGGTTTTCTGCACAACTGTCAGGTCAGCAGTCTTTCCCATGATTGTGATTCCTACTGAACCAGACTGAGAGACCATTTAAAGGCTCAGGAACCCTTTGCAGGTGTTATGGCTTAATTAGCTGATTAGAGTGGGACACTTTCAGCCTAGAATATTGCACCTTTTCACAATATTCTCAGTTTCTGAGATTGTGGATTTGGGGTTTTCATGAGCTGTAAGCCATAATCATCACAGTTATGACAAATCACGGCTTGAACTATCTTGCTTTGCATGTAATGAGTCTATCTCATATATTAGTTTCACCTTTTAAGTTGCATTACTGAAATAAATTAACTTTTGCACGATATTCTAATTTTTCGAGTTTCACCTGTATATGCCATATGTACATCCATCCCTGCCAAACGGCTTTAAATGTCTCCCCCCTGATTCCCAACCAAGGTCACCCATCGCTCAGCCTCCATAATTGTATCCACCTCCCTCTTCCAGTCAGCAAATGTTGGACATGCAGAGTGTTTCCAGAATCTAGGAATCAAGGATTTAGCTGCATTCACAAGATGGGGAGTGACACTTTTTTTATACAACGTCAGAGAAGATGAGGTCACATGAAAGAGGAGGCAGAGGGGAGATTTCTCTATGTGACTTAAAGTCAGTTTCTGGATCCAAGGAGGCTGCAATTTTGAGGCAATTCCACCAATGGTGAAGAAACATACCATGTTAGTCGCAGCCTCTCCAACAACGAGCATCGGCAGTGGGAAATATCTGAGCTATGCATCAATTCAATAGTCCTATGAACCTGAGGGGGGGTAAGTTCCAAGCCCAGTTCCTTCTCCCATTCCCTCATGTAATACGGAACCGACGTGGGATGCATACTCAACACTAGTTCATATATTTTGATGATAATGTCTAGCGTTTGGGAGTCTAGCGCACATTGATTTGTATGGCGTAAGGGCATGTCTAGGTCGTTTCTTAGGGTTTAACCCAGTTAAAGCGGAGTTCCAGTCTTCTCGGCACTTTTCTACAAAAAGCACCTGCATTATTCTCTTTAGTTGCTATATATAATTAGGACAGTGTTCTAAGTGTATGTCGTTTGCTTACTTGTGAATGTGACATTTCTCAGCAGGATCCCAGCAGGCAGGCAGCGGCCATTACTAGTGTGGGCATCTGAAGCAAGCTCCTACTTTCTTCTGGATTTGGTGCAGCTGGCTACCCAACATGCACCTCCTGATCTCGCGCTTGCATTGTAAGGACACGGCCCGGCACACTGTGTTGTTTGAAGGTTGCCATAACAATGGCGGCGGCGGAAGATCCTGCCCCGTTGTTATGGCAACCTGTCAATCATTCCTCCCGATAACATCACTTCCGGTCAAGAAATACCGGGAGACTTCAGCATTAGGCTTCCCAAAGACACCTGGGAAAACCAATACCGATATCCCAAGAGTCCTAGGGAATCGCCTAATGATAAAATCACCTAGGCGGCCGGACTGGAAGTGCAGGATACTTACAGCAAAAAAAGGTATTTAGAAATTAATAAATAAAAAAAAATATCCCATAACAGACTGTTCTGCAGGTGCAGGGCATTGTGTGGCAAGGATCATAAAAAAAAAAAAGGTGGAACTCCACTTTAAGAAACTAGTCAGTTGACGGTGCCTCCAGTCCGCCAGTGGGAAAGTCCCATACGTAGATTGTAAGACACGGATAGGTAGGGGGGTACCCCGAGGGGCGAAAGAACCCAATTAGCATATAGTCCGGACCCATTCATTCAATCCCAGACGTGGTTTGAGTCAGGGGTGACGTCCAGTAAGAAAGTCCTCTGAAAGCTGTCGGGATCCAAGGGCCCCCCGCTAGATTCCTCCCACCATCGATTTCTCTGAGACCCATGGTTTATTCGGGACATCATGCTGCCAGTTTAAAATGTGTGCCAGAGCCATAGCTCTATAACATAAGGTCACATCCGGGAGCCCTACCCCACCGTCCATCTTATGTCTACGTAATAAATCATATGCCAATCTGGGGTGCTTATCATGCCAGATAAGTCAGAAATGCTCTACTAAGTCACTTAACCTCCCTGGCGGTATTACCGAGTGTAGCTCAGGGTAAAGTTTCAGTACCACAAGTGGTATCCCCGAGCTACACGCGGACTTACCATGCGGCGCTGCTCCGGGATCACTTACCTTGTCCTGCGCTCCCGCGATGTCCCTCCTGCAGTGTCCCCTGTAATGTCCTCCGGCGGATGCCGGCATCTGTCATCTGGGTTCCGTCCCCTGCGAGCTTTGGGACGTACGAGGATGAAACTGGCGGGAATTTTGAAAATGACAAAAAGTGACATTCACTAAAATAACATAGTAAAGCATTAAATTATAATTTATGATTGCGGGTTTTCAAATTTTAACATACCCGGGATGTTTACTAGACTCTTGTTCGGGCAGATTTCAGTGAGTTATTCCTAAAAATTACAGGCCTACAATAAAAAAAATACGTATTTCCATGCAAAAAAATGTACTGCTTTGAGCACAGAAATATGGACATATTCAGACCACTAGGGAGGTTAAAGAAGGTGTGGGGCAAGGTAATAGGTATAGTATATAAAAAATATAGAATCCATGGCAGGATCAAGGTTTTTAAGACATTCACCCTACCAAACCCTACCAAACCAGGTCAAAGGGTAGATTCGCCATGGCTGTAAGTCCTTTAATATGCCAGTCAGCAATTTGGCGTAGTTAAGGTCATATAAAAGCTTAAGGTCGGGAGAAATCTGAGTCCCCAAATACGATAAATAGCCCCTCCTCCAAATGAAGGGGAAAGACTGTTGCAACAGTAGGACATGGATGGGGAGAACTTATAATTTATGTTAAAGTTGGATAAAACACCAAATTGTTGAAGTTCCGTCATAAGTACCGGGACAGAGATATGGGGTTTTGACAAATAAAAAAAAGAAGGTCATTGGCATAGGCTGACATCTTGTGTTCTGTGGACCCAATACTAATACCGGCAATGTCTGGATTATTTGGAACTACAAAAGGGACAATGGACAGCCTTGCCTGGTCCCATTATGGATATCAAAGCGGGCAGAGTGTGTACCATTCACCTTCACACGAGCTTTAGGTTCCTGATATAAAGCTAAAATCCAGCCCATCCTCCGATCGCCTAGGCCTCACAGCACCTCTGTCATATAAGCCCAGTTCACGCGATCAAAAGCATTCTTGGTGTCCATTGAAAGTATCACGCAAGGTGCACAGGCAGGACTATGCTGGGCCCAGTGTAAATATGTAAGGCCCAAATTGTATTGTCTCTAGCTTCACAGCCCACCATAAAACAAGTCTGATCCGAGTGAACTAGTTCCACAACAGGGTCCTGTAGGCGAACCACCAAAATTTTGGTCACCAGTTTAGTCTCGGAATTCAATAAAGAAATTGGCCTATAGTTGGCACAATATTGAGGGTCCTTGCCCGGTTTTGGCAATATGGTGATATGGGCCAGAAGAGCCTTTGGAGGTAGAGGGTTAGTAGTGGTCATGGAGTTAAGATAACTACAAAGTAGGCCGGCAAGGATAGAGAAGAATTTCTTATATTGATTAGTAAAACCGCCAGAACCAGGGCTTTTGCCCAAGGCAAAGGGTAGCAACACCCTTGCCCAATTCCTCAGCGGATATCGGGCATTCTAGTTCCTCAAGAATATGGGGGGGGGGAGAAAGCAAGGGAAAGCAGAGTCCTGTATGTAAGCCTGCACAGGCGTAGTCTGGGACACCTCATCCACAGCAGGGGAGTTGGTATGGAGGTTGTAAGGAGGGGCATAAAACTGTTGAAATAGTCCAGTGATAGCATGAGTGTCTTCCACCCGTCCAGACTGTGTTGTCAAACCGTGTGCATGACGTAAGGCCTGCTGTTTTCTTAATTGTCTAGCCAGGAGCCGACCACATTTGTTGTTCATAGAAATGGTGGGCATAGAATCTACGTTTGTCTCTAGCTCTATGGTCCAAGCACTGAGAGGGTGTGCACCACACTCTCTATTGATCCTTCGGACTCTCAGGCACTAGTAACTTTACGCACCATACAGTTACCAGTGCCTGAGCGTCCGAAGGATCAAAGTGTGTTTTTATGTTTAATTTCTAGGGCATGAATTTTATCCAACAATTCCGTAATCTCTCTGTTTCTTTTTTTAATCTGAGAACCATGGGCTATCTGTTCACCCCTGATCACTGCTTTGTGACCTTCCCAAACCACCTATGTGGACATATCTCCAGAGGATTTAGTTTCAAAATAAAATTGTAAGGAGCAAGAGACCGCTTCAAAAACAGCTGGGTGATCAAGCAGGTTCTCATTAAGTCTCCACACCCTTTCAATCTGGTAAGCAGCTGGACAACATCATTGGAGAACGGTCGGAAATTGTTATGGAACCGATTGAAGAAGATACCACATTACGCAGTTAAAACTGGTCAACAAAAAGGAGATCTAGATGCAAATAAGAATCATGCGTCTTCGAGTAATAGCTGAAGTCTTTATCCCTGGTATGCGTCACCCGCCAGATGTCCACCAAGTGAAGAGTATGCAAAAGTATTTTAACATGTTTCAGCGCACGGTAGGATAGATATGTTTTTACCAGAGGACGTGTCCAGACAAGGGTCCAGGGCAATAGTAAAATCCCCCCCCCCCCCCCAGAAGCACCACGCCCTCCCTAAAATCCATCAGTTTTTTAAGGATAGTAGAAATGAAATTGACAGTGCGGGAATTGGGGGTATAAATCGCTGCAAAGGTATATTTATTACCATGTATTGAACCTTTAAGAAATAGGAAACGGCCCTCTGGGTCAGTTTGCTGAGATAGAAGAGAAAAGGGACAGGACTTCCATATAGCTATCGAGACCCCCCTGGCCTTTGCAATAGGGAATATACTATGATACCATTGGTCAAAAGTCGCAAGAGGCTTGCGGGGAGTAGAGATGGCGGTGAAGTGCGTCTTCTGCAAAAATAGAATAGCTGGGGGCAGGTGACGCAGTTCCCACCAAAGGCAATCCCTCTTCTGTGGGGAACAAAGCCCCCTAACGTTATAGGACAATATGGTCAATTTGCTAGCCATGGTAACAGCATAAAAAGGGATGCACAGCCAATTATGTATAGTATTGCTATTCCTCCAGATGTTCAGAACAAAACACATTCAGTAAGCAGTAGCAAACAGTTGAGTTTGTACCCCTTCAATCTCCCGGATACAAAACCAATAGAAAAAACTAAAAGAAAAACAATAAGGTCCGCAGGGGCAAAAGCGGACCACCTAAAGGGATGAATCCTCTGGAGAGAGGAAAGAAACCTCTTCGTCGAGGGAGTCCCCCGCACTGCAAAATCACAGAATGGAAGTCCTCCACCAGAGGACCGGCCTAATGTGGAAGAAATGACCAGGGACATAGCAAAAACACCATTTAGCAACCCCTGTGCAAATCCAGTAAAATAGAACAATATACATAGTTACATAGTTAGTCTGGCTGAAAAAAGACAGAAGTTTATCCAATTCAACCATAGAAAAAAAAAAGTATATCCTATGCCCACAGTTGATCCAGAGGAAGGCAAAACAACCCAACAAAGTATGATCCAATTTGCTCCTGCTGGGAAAAAAAATCCTTCCTGATCCCCCAAGAGGCAATCAGACATTCTCTGGATCAACTTTACCTATAAATATTAGTATCCAGTTATATTGTGTGTATCTAAGAAACAATCCAGGCCTTTTTTTGAAACAATCCACTGAGCTAGCCAGAACCAAATCTTGAGGGAGTCTATTCCACATTTTCACAGCTCTCACTGTGAAGAAACCTTTCCGTGTTTGGAGATTACATTTCTTTTCCTCCAGACGTAAAGAGTGCCCCTTGTTCTCTGTGATGATTTCAGGGTGAATAGCTTTACACCGAGTTCACTATATGAACCACTGATGTATTTATACATATTGATCATATTCCCCCTTAATCTCCTCTTCTCAAGAGAGTATACATTCAGTTCCTCTAATCTTTCCTCATAGCTGATCTCCTCCATGCCTTGTATCCGTTTAGTTGCCCTTCTCTGTACTTTCTCTAGTTCCCCAATGTTATTTTTGTAAATTGGTGCCCAAAACTGAACTGCATATTCCAGATGAGGTATTACCAATGATTTGTACAGGGGTAAAAATCTCTCTCTCTCTCTCTCTCTCTCTCTCTCTCTCTCTTTTGTCTATACCTCTTTTAATACAAGAGAGGATTTTGCTCTCTTTAGAAACCGCAGCTTGACATTGCATGCCATTATTAAGCTTGTGATCTACCAGAACCCCCAGATCCTTCTCCACCATTGATTCTCCCAGTTGTACTCCCCCTAGTATGTATGATGCATGCATATTCTTAGCCCCCAAGTGCATAACCTTACATTTATCAACATTAAACCTCATTTTCCACATAGTTGCCCAATTAAACAGTGCATTGAGGTTGGCTTGTAAGTTGAAGACATCCTGTAAGGACATTATTCCACTGCACGGCTTGGTGTCATCTGCAAAGACTGAAATGGGATTTTTAATCTCAGACCCTATATTGTTAAAACGTAAGGGTCCCAACACTGAACCTTGGGGTACACCACTGACAACCCTATACCATTCAGAGTATGAATCATTAACCACTACTCTTGAATACGATCTTTTAGCCAGTTTTCTATCCAATTACATATGGATTTTTCCAAACCCATAGACGTTCTTACACATTAGCCATGTGTGGAAAACTGTGTCAAACGATTTTGCAAAATCCAAGTGTACCACGTCCACCGCCACCCCTCTGTTCAAGGTTTTGCTCACCCCCTCATAAAACGAAATCAGATTTGTTCAACAATTTCTGTCTTTCATGAATCCATGCTGTCTGTTGCTTAAAATATTTTCTCCAGCAAGAACTCATCTATGTGGTCTTTTATTAAACTCGCCAATATCTTCCCATCTATAGAAGTTAAACTAACAGATCTATAATTACTTGATAAAGATTTTGACCCCTTTTTAAATATTGGCACTACATTGGCCTTACGCCAATCCAGTGGTACTATGCCAGTCATTAAAGAGTCCCTAAAAATTAGAAACAATGGCTTTGAAATGACAGAGCTCAATTCTTTAAGGACCCGTGGGTGTACGCCATCCAATCCATGTGCTTTATTCACCTTTTATTCGGTCTAAATATTTTTTGGATCATATCAGTTGTGAGCCAATG